AGCATGACGTCACATGGTATGGAATATCCCTTTGGCCAGTTTGGGTCAGCTGTCCTGGCTGTGCCCCATCCCAGCTTCTCACTGGCCAGGCATAAGAGGCTGAAAAGTCCTTGACTAGGGTAAGCACTACTTAGCGACAACTAAAACATCAGTGTGTTATCAACATTATTCTCATCCTAAATCCAAAACACAGCACTGTACCAGCTACTAGGAAGAAAATTAACTCTATCCCAGCCGAAACCAGGACAGCATCTAAGGGAGGTTCCTTGCCTTAGTCATAAAAGATCTCACCTGTCGTTTAAATATTCTCTGTAGCAATCCTTTCTTGGGTGGCTCTGGGGGGTAGCTTTTGTTTAGGTCTGGTGAAATAGTACCATTTGGTCCAAATACATTCAGTTCTTTGAAACACTCTGTTTCTATCATCTAGTGGAATACAATAAGAAAGAAAAAAAGAAATTACACATCTGCATTAAATACATTCCAAGTAGTGCTAGGTTATTCAAAGTCAGGATCAGGAACAGCAGCTTGAGCAATACGTTAGGAGAGTTAAGAGTTGGATTCCTGCTGGTGGCTATAGAAGGTAAATAGGATGTATGAAAAAGAGAGGCTGAGTCTGCTCTGCATGTTTGCACATCAGTCTTATTAGAAGTTGCCCCACAAAGCTTTCTGTTCTTTTCTTTAGCACTGTGGAGAATATTGGGTAAAGACAGGCATACTCACAAAATCCCAGTTATTAACACCCCTCTGCCCAAGTGAATCTGCTGTTTGATCCGGAGTTGGATTATGAAATCCACTGTTGGCTGTGTTTTGATATCAAACAGAAACAAAGACCCAGATCTGGAAACCCTGGAGCAGTTCAAGGTCCAGAGTCAACTTTTGTAGCTGGGACCCGCTGCAGGTACAAGACAATGGGTGAGATGAGGATCTCCAGCGGAGGAGCCTCCCATTAGGACTTCCAGCCATCCCACGGAAGTTCCTCAGAGCTGTTGTCGAAACACCTCTGTAGAAATCCAGGAGAAGGAAGTGCAGTAGGATCCTTGCCAATTTCCACAAACAGGCAGAGCCAACAGATACAGTCACCTGAACCCGACATCTGTGGTACATTATAGGTCTTGAAAGAGGCCATTTGTAACTTATGAAAGCATTACAGTCTGGCAAGTTATCCAGTAGCTATATATTACTGGAAATATACAGCTCCTCTTAAACCACCTGTGTTAGGGGTTTTATTGGAGTAATTTTACTGTGAGACATCCTTACCTCATTTTGCCATGGAATAGACACTGATCCTGTGGAAAACTTGGAATAGAAATCATCATCTGTTTGGTCCAGGTTGACTCCTTTCACTGTGGAGAATTGCTCAATGTCTAACACATCCTTGCAGTATACTGCTCTGGGCTATCTCAGCAGAAAAAAAAAGAAAAACAGCAAGAGAAAAAATACTTCTGAGTCTGACCATGTGCTTTCATTCACAGATTCAGTCAAGTGAGAATGCCTAACAACAAGTGACTATCTGCATCCTGCTTCTCTAGACTTGCTCTGCCCGCATGTTTATCATCAAAGGCTGACTTCACTTTAAGCATGTTAAGCTTCCCACTTTGAAGTCCTTAAAGCATCAGCCAAAGTGGGTTTTAGTCATCCATGTAACGTATGGCTAAGAGGTGAGGGGGAAAGGACAGAAAGAGCAAGAAAACAAAAATCAAATCCTGCAGTAGGCTCTTCTTTTAGAGAGGGCACAACAGAAAATCAGAAAGTTTACGAGTGACACACTGCAGACAGCCCTGAAAAAGGACCTCAAGTAGAAGTGTCCTTCTGCTCAGATAGCTGTGGAGTTTGCAGCTTAAAAGTTTAAAGGAATGTATACTAACTGCTAAAGAAAACAGAAGAGGTTTGGCATTTTTCCATTGTTTTTATTAATAGCTCAGTTGCTGGAAGCTGTCCAGCATCACCTCTATTAACTCTTTTAACTTGGCTGCCTTTCTTCAAACAAATAGTCAAATAGCTTTGCCTTTTTAAACTGCTTAATTTTCTGGGATGACAGAGACAGAACTCTTTGCAGTGACGCTGCTTTTAGCTCATATTCCAGCAGTCAGCCACAGAAAGCAGAAATAGTCATCACTGGCTACCTGTCATAGTTAGCGTGGTCATCTGCATGCCTAGAGGTAGTGTGGTCATCTGATGTGCCCATCAACAACACAGTTACCCTTCGATGCACAGGGATAATTGAGGGGTGGCTTGTGGGACTAGCCTGACCTGCTGAACTCAAGCACGTGTTGAATCCTACTGTCTACACGTGGTACCATGACTGCACAGCCCAGGGGTCCAACCATGCAGCATTTTATCTAAATCTGAGCACTGTGACCAAACAAATCAAGCTGATTCCTGACGGAAGCCCTAGTTGCTGGAGACTGCATCCCTCTGCATTCCTGATGGCTGCAATCCACAACATTTTTGTGGAGACAGAGTAGTCTAGAAGAGGATGGAGAGACATGGGTTGGATTACAACCTCTGCCATTGGCTATATAGCTTTGGGTGATTCAGCTGACTTCAGTAAAGACTTGGAAATCTATGCATGAAGTGCAAAATAAATTAAATTAGGGGCAGCTCTTGAGTTCCCAATAAATAGCCATAAAAAATTATGTGCCTCTGCTTTAGCAAATATGTCTATAAGAGGTGCCTTCTAGGCCTTACATGCCACAGTTAAGCTTTTAATACACTCTGGTGGATCCCAGATTTGAGCCCAGAATTTTCTAATTTTCTACATCAGAAAGAAATAGTAGCTTGTCTCCTATTTCTTCCCACTAAAGCAGGTTGTAACACCATGGGCTAATTGGCAGGAATAACTAGGCCGCATAGTAAAATGTAAAGCAAAACCAGAGCAGCTAAAGTAAACTTTTGTAGCGTTCAAACCACTTTGGTTTGGTTGAGTTTGCAGCAATGTGAATGAGAGCTGCCAAGATGTTACTTTCCTTAATACGTTAAAATGGCAGTGTTTACTTAGAACCATATGGGAACTTTAAGGATAGAGGGTCTAGCCAGAAAGAGAGCCCTGCAGGAGGAAAATAATCAGATAACTCTGTGCACTGGCGTGGAGACCGATACCACAAAAGGGTGGAAAAAGTTTTGTTCTTGCCAGTGCAACAAAGATTTTCAGTGTGTGCAAGACTGGTGTGTAATCCTGAGTAAGGACTCAGTGCTGGGTTCCGCACCCCATGAACACTAACAGGTTCAAAATGCTCTCTCAGGTCCAGGTCACCTCCTCTGCTTGAGGTGAGACTTGATATCTGAACCTGTTTCAGACTCTGTGTAACAAATGCCTGTTTTCATGATGATCCAGTCCATTCCTCAGTTCCGTAGAGCTTTGGACTTTGTAATTCTGCTTTCACCTCAGTATATATATCTATATATCTGTATGCATACATGTGGCTTTCATCGCTGATTGTTCCAAGCACCACCTGGTCCTGAGCATACTTATTCTCACACTACTACAGTGGATAAGGGAATACAAAGGTTCCCAGTTTGAAGTTTGGGAACTGAGGCACGAACAGATCAAGTGGTGCCTCCAGCGTCACACAGGAAGACTGTGGTAAAGTGAGTGGGAATGAATCAAGTCCCAGGTTACCACCTATGTGGAGGCCCACCCACCCTGCATGCACATGTCTACAGAGCAGCTCTCCTCTTCCTCCCAGCCTCCCCACTCCAGCCCTACCACTTAGCACATCTTCCTAGGGCAGCTACCCATGCAGAGAGTGATGACAGCTCTAAGAGAGAGAAGTTATTTTAGAAACAAATCTCTTGAAAGAGGCCACTGGGGGTTCTTCCTATCGTACTTACATCAGGGACAAAGGGAGGATCCAGCATTCCTGCTTCTAACCGCTTGAAATTCATACTCTTGAAAAAGGGGTGCCTCTTCACTTCTGTTGCACCTTCCCCTTGACATCCTAGCCGCTGCTTCACGTCTTTGGTGAGGAGCTGAAACATGCCAAGAGGAATGGTAAGGATGTCAGAAAAGCAAGAGCTCCACAAAGATATTTTTAGCTCCAGTTGGTTTTGAATGTGCCCAGAAGGAAGTACAGAGGGGAATTGTAATTGCCAAAGTTAAATGGATTAGGACTGCGCTGTTCTACACGCTGGTGAAACCCTTTGAAAATTACCTGCTGTAAAGTGTTTACAGTCAAAATATAGGCTGTTGCTTCTGCTTACTTTCAGTGAACACTTTCAAGAAGAGGTCTGACATACCCTAATCACATATATAGATGCATATTCATAAGTCCCACGTGCTTTTTCTCAGTTCTTTTTTTTTCTTGTTACTCTCGTAAGAATAATTTTCCCATGTTGCTTAGGCTGAATGACTTTACTATGAAATTGTATTTCCCTCTACCCATTGTAGTATATTCCAGTACATCACATGACACATTGAACAACCCTTTGTGCTCATGGGCTTATCTCTGCTGAACTCAAGGGGAGTTTTGTCCACAGAGCCAGTATTGGTAACCATCCTCAGTTCAGCCTTGGTTTTTTTTCAGAGAAGGGCAATGCACCACCTCTACCTGCTACAGCAAGTCCTGCCTGTTTCCTGGGTACCTGTAATGGAGCAATGGACGCTAACTGAACTCAGCATCCTTGGTCTATTAGATAAGCAGGTCCATGAACACAAACACAGGGGTTGTAGGTCCTGGAAGACCTTGTATGGATGGACTAATTGATCTGCAAGAGAACAGTTCAATGGAAGAACAATTCTGGCACAGGCTAGTTGGTGGATGAGGAGACAGAACATGTAGCCAAATCTTCACCAAAATGCCTCTTCTTTTAAATCATATATGTAGAATCAAGTAGGCTAAATCAATGTCGTAAGAGATCACATCTAAACACTTGAAGAGAGGCAGAGCTCAGCATGCAAATGACTGGTGCAGAAAGACCATCACTTGGGACAGGGACCTTTCTAAATGTACCACTGACTTCAGGCAATCTGCTGAAAAGTGAAGGTTCACAAATTTGGTTCCTTTTTGTCCTTCCATTCATCTTTGAGGAAGCCTGTGTGATGCTCTCCTAGATAGAGGAGAGAAAATATAACTCTGGACTCACCATAATCTGCCCAGAGATTTCAACTGCCTATTAAAGAGATGCATAACATGTGCCTTAGCACAACAGAAAAATAAACATGGGTTGAAAACAGTCAAGGCTAGCTTTGTGGAGTCTCCACTCTGGGGGAAAAGACTACATACTTACACTGCAACATCATGGAGGAAATAAGAACCCCAGCCATTTTCCACAGGAAGGGTATGCCTCCTGGAGCCGGGCATGCAGCCAGGCAGACACCCCCACCGCTCAGCACTTTTGGTACCCTGATTTCTAAACGGCTGCTGAAGGAAGGGGCTGAGCCAGCCTGCACTGACACCAAGGCTGTGCG